CGTGCGATTTGTTGAACGGTGTAGTCGCTTCCGGCGAATATCATGACCAAAAACTTGCATGGAAAGTGCTGGTGTAATTGTATATTCCAAGGTTAAGACATGAATATTTATTCAGGATGAAACGCATTGTGTGGTCAAAGAAGTTATTTTAGACACGATTATTTGGGACACCAATTTCTTTTACAGAACTTTTACACGTTTCACCGCCTCTCGAAATCAATGCAAATACAGTAATGTAAGAGATTGGTAACCAAATTAATGAATAAAGTAAACCAATTAATTATATTATACTATCAATCGCATTTTCCGAAAAGATTTTTTTTACTCGATGAAAAATTGGCGATCAGTTGTGTCCGCCGAGGACGCCGCAATGATATGCACAGTCGCGCGATAACTGACGTACGACAATTGACTCTGTTCTTCTTTTTTTACGCGATAAGAATTTCAACGTGCGAGATAAGACAGTTCCTTACCTAATGAAATTGGCTGGTGACTCGAATTCTCAAGCATTTAGCTTGCCTGCGAGCGAAGCGGTTTCATCTCTAAAGTGTGCAAAAGTGAAAATCGCAATTAATCGAGAGGACGATTACGATCGAAATCGTGCCGGTGCTCCCGGAGTCTCTTTCACTCGATTATAGCATACGAAAAAGTGATCCAACCGATACCAACATGTCCTCCAACGGTGAGGATCGGAATATCGTTTCTTGTACGGAGTCTAGGACTGAAAGGTGGCGTTTCTTTCACGTAGGTAATCAAATCACAAAGAAAGTTTAATGGTCGGTCACAGTGCTTTCGCTACGTAGACTTACAATTTGTTACTATTGTGTGTTACATCTCTATCGCTCATTGTGCTGTATTTCAGAAAACAAAACTTGGAAATAGAATTTCAACTGCAAATTAAACTTTCTCGACAAGGAGACACTACGCGCCGTTTTTTCCACCGATTTCATATCAAACTTGCAGCAACAATAGAAGATTCTATCAGCGATCAATACATGTAAAGCCGTATTTTAATGAGCCTTCAGAGTTGAATTATAAACAATTAGAGATGACTATTTCCTCCAAGCTTCAGCGGTTATATTTTACATATAATGTTAATCCATCGTGTCTCAGCGACAGAACGTTGAGCTAGTAAGAACCGCCGATTCGCCGTATGGTTGGGACCGAAAAATGTTTTTCGCGTTTTACTTTTAATATCCTTTTTTTTCACATTAGATGACAAAGAAAATATAAATCTATCTACATTATCGTGTATAGTACTCTTGAAAGTCTCTTCGAATTTAAAACACGTAACAATCTCTCTTCAAAGAACATTTGTCTTTTCTAAAGAAAAAGTCTTGTAAAAATACTTTTATAAAGATATACAGAAATTATGCTTGGCATCGCGACGCTACCGAGTCACTCGATACGCCGCTGTGTCCTCGCGACACTATAGATAGGTGCAGATAAACCTGTAACTATTTGACAAAACTATAGATATTTGTGGTACAAGGCACCCTATTTTTTGACACGTGACTTGTGTTCAATTACACAAGTAAAGCCTCTATTGATTAAAAAAATTCTTTTCTTTATGATTTACTTCTCTTTTATCTCTTTTCATTACACAAACACACACATACACACACACACACCGAATACAAGTATATA